ACACCATGAGTCAGAAATCAGCTGTTCAGAGTGATTGCTTGTGGGAAGAAACTGTTCCTAAGTCTGTTGGTTTTGGCGTACAGTGCTCTGTAGTTCCTACCAGAGGGGAGAAGCTGGAACAGATTGTGTCCAGGGTGAGATAGATCTGCAGTGATGTTTCCTGCCTGTATTCACATCTAAATGTGTTAAACAACTCAGGTCATATCACCGTTTGTATTAGACCACAGCATTCTTATGTGAGCAAAAGTATAGGAACAAATAATCTTAAAGTAAATAAATTTAATATTTGGCAGTATAACCCTTGCTTGCAATAGCTGCCTCCAGCTATTCCAGGCTTTTACCGCAGCTTCTTTCAGTTCTTGTTTGTTTCGGGGTGTTTCTCCCTTAAGTCTCCTCTTAAGGAGGTGAAATGCATGCTCTATTGGGTTAAGGGTCAGTGGGTGCGCAAAGCAGGAGTGAGCCCAAATGCACGACACTTAGCGCTGAGATACAGTTCCAGGTTTCTGTAGGCAAGACCAACAGGCAAGACAAAACTCACATGTAGTGAAAACTGGCACATCCAAAAATGCAGACTGAGGTAGCATAGTGACTGGCAGAACGCACAACATTCGACAGAGCATACATGCAACATGTGACAAAACACTGCAATGACCGGAAAGGGAATGAACAGAAACACCAAACATTTATACACAGGGACTAACGAGCAGGGTGGGAGCAACACACGTGACTGGGATCAGGGTTAACGAGGCAGAGAGACAGAAGGGGAAAACAGAGAGACTGTATGGCAGGCCGATTACTGGAGGTAACAGAGAGGCAGGCAGGCAGAGACAGCAAAGGGGAACAAAGAGGCAGGCAGACAGAGTGATAACTGGGGGAACAGATAGAACACTTGACAGGCAGACGTGGGGCAAAATTAATAACCAACACAGACAGAACACATGCAACAAAATACCAGACAAGAATCTAACTCAGACAATAACAGAAACCCATGTAAAACAGACAAACACCAACCAACTATAACACAGGGATCATAAAAGACAAAACCTAAACGAGAACTGAGAACTAGAACACAGAGTACCGAGCAGACTAAACCAAAATGATGCAGAGAAAGAACTACAAGCAAATACTACAACATGAACTAAGGCACAGGACTAGGAACAAAGACATGGAACAAAAACCTAGACTCCCCAACAAGACACACAGACAGGACTGAAACCCAAAACCCAGACACAGAGAAAACAAAATCAAAACACAGAGAAGACACGGCCAAAATAATATAATCCAGACAAGCTCAGGACAGGATCGTGACATAAGGTCAGGTGATTGACTTGGCCAGTCTAAAACCTTCCACTTTTTCCCCTGATGAAGTCCCTTGTTTTGTTGGCAGTGTGCTTTGGCTCATTGTTCTGCTGCATGATGAACTTCCTCCCGATTACTTTCAATGCATTTCTCCCTAAATTGGCAGACAAAATGTTTCTGTCCACTTCTGAATTAATTCTGCTGCCACCATCATGTTACATCATCAATAAATATTAATGAGCCTATTCCAGAAGCAGCCATGCACGCCCAAGCCATGACATCACCTCCACCATGCTTCACAGATGAGCTTGTATGCGGATCATAAGCAGTTCCTTTCTTTCTCCACACTTGCCTTTCCATCACTTTGGTAGAGATTAATCTTGGTCTCATCAGTCCATAAGATTGTGTTGCAGAACTTTCGCAGCTCATGTCTGTACTTCAATCTGGCCTTCCGATTCTTACTGCTGAGGAGTGGTTTGCATCTTGTGGTGTGGCCTCTATCTTTCTGCTCTCTGAGTCTTCTTGAACAGTGGATTGTGATACCTTCACCCCTGCACTGTGGAGGTCGTTGGTGATGTCACTTAGTGATGTTTTGGGGGTTTTCTTCACAGCTCTTACGATATTTCTGTCATCAACTACTGTTGTTTTCCTTGGCCGACCTGTTCGACGTCTGTTGCTCAGGACACCAGTAGTTTGTTTCTTTTTCAGGACATTCCAAATTGTTGTGCTTGCTATGCCCAATGTTTGTCCAATGGCTCTGGTCGATTGTCCTTCTTTTCTCAGCTTGACAATGACTTGCTTTTCTCCCATAGACAGCTCTCTGGTCTTCATGTTGGTTTATCCTCTTTAACAGAAAATGCAGTCTTTATAGGTTTGAAGGATGAAAACTTTGACTAGTCATGCAGAGCTATTTAATGTTGGACAATCAACCTAAAAGGCAACACCTGGGCAACAAGAAACATCTGTCACATGTTCCAATAGTTTCGCTCACTTGAAAAATAGGTGGGTTCAAACTAAGGGTGGTATGTCCTGAGTTGTTTAACATATCTAGATGTGAATACCAGGAAATTAAAGCTGAAATTCTGAACTCTTGTCTCATACTCATCTTTTGATCTTAAACCCAAATGTCTTCAGTGAACAACAAAAACAAACAAAGGAATTTGCCTTACCGTTCCAATACTTTTGTGGGGGACTGTATATTCAGTCATCCTTAATGCATGCAGTCAGTCATAAAGAAAGCACTGGTATAAAACATGTATGAACAAATGCAGTAGTACCACAGTCAACCTTAAATGAAAGACTGCCTTAAGGGCCCTGAACTGCAGCACAGGTGTTTTCATTTACATTGCCTGATCAGACATGTCTTCCTGTGGAAGGTGGGGCAGTTTAAGATTTCATGGTGTAACTGAGGCCTTTTTCACAGCAGACATTTTGACTCATAGTAGGAAAAGCACAAATGTTGCTAATGAAATTAACAATGGCTTTGCTCAAATGATATGTCCCAGTAAGTCATGACAAAAGCAAAAGTGAGCCAGCATGCACAATAAAAGGACCCTGAACAGAATGAAGCAGCTAAATGAAATTCAGCCATGATTGACTTTATCATTTACACCTGGGTTCAATACGTGTTTAACTAATGACATAAAACCTGTTAATTAGTGCGCTTTAGAGGTGCTAATAGGCAGATTTTTACCTGCATCCAAAACAGCATGTTAACCATCCTTTCATATATGGTTAATAATAACATAATATATCAATTAATGCACATTTCAATTCTGTATTGCAAAGTCAGTCAGTCTTTTTCCTTTGTCTTCTAAGTCGTATGAGTCCTGAATTCCACTCGATGGAAACCAGAGCTCATGAGGTGTTCCTTAATAGAGGGTGGCGTCATGTTATCTTAGGCAGGGTAAGGTCAAGCAAGTTGTAATTTACTAAGCTGTTTTAGATTGTCAGAGTTGGCTCTCATCCTTCATTGTTCATGCTCTGTGTGATCTTGCAGGCCAGTCATAAATCAAGAAACTGACATTCAGCTTTTTCATTAATGACCTTCTGAGTCCTGCAAAGATCATGGTACAGCCGAGGTTCCTGGGAGAAAGTTTATCAGTTATCAGTTGTCTGATTTAAATTTCTTCATCACCACATCACCACCATCTTTAACACTCTACACTGCTTTGAAAAGAGGTCTAATAAGGCAACATAAGTGAAAACACCTGCAGGAGCTCTGAAGTCATGTAATCAACTAAAATTCAACTAAAAACTAAGTAATTTTGACGCCAAAATTCAGGTAATTTTTTAATTATCAGTACTTGCTTATTATCTAAAGCCTTTACGAAGCTGTCCAATCGGTCTATGGTTATGATTGACAGGAGATACACAGTATAACAAAGAAAAATGGCAAAATCATTTTTGTGTGTGTGGTGTAGATTTTATCCAGGTTGCTCAACTGTGTGACGAGATGTTTCACAATTGACCAAACAGTGATGTAAATGCAATAGCCAGTGTCATTTTAACAAAAAAAGAAAGAATGAGCATCTTTTCAGTCAGTACAAAACAATAAACAATTTCAATTTTAGACGTTATTTCAGAATGTTCTGTTATGTTAAAAGATTTCAAAATAAATCAACATTTTTTTATAACACCATAATGTTTACCAAATACCATGTCATTACTGGTTTCACAACATTTATTCATATAAAATAGATAAATGTTGTCCTCTCTTTGGAAAAGTCATGTTAGGTCGGTACAATCATATAAACAGTTATGGGACAGAACTTTTAATGGTCCCATTTTGTGAAAGCAAGTTGTTTACTTGTTTCCCCCAAAAGACAAAATCTCCCGTTAAAATCAAGGGCAAAGTTAAAGCTGTTAGCAGGCTTCGGATTCTTTTACTTATCAAAGCTCCTGTTGTTAAACTATCGACATTAATCTCATATTGAATTCAATGTCCAGCTTTTCAGTACTAATTTAAATATACAAAGTGTTCAAAAATATACATTAATTGAAATTAATTAACAGACAGACGTAGCCCACATGATGCACTAACACACAATCATATTAATGGAGAATTAGAGTAGAGAGGATGGATTTGAAACAAACCTTCAGTTTCCGTGGCTACCTTTTCTCTCCTATATGCTCTTGCAATGTGTTCTTTGTTGGTGAAAAGCATGTAGCATTCTCTGTGGACTCCCACATTAGCTGGCCCATCTTGGTCTTTCCAGACTTCTGATAATTGAAATGTAGCTATGGCTTTTTCAGCTATTAAACTCTCAATGTTGAGTTTAACCCATTTCTGGGCACACTGAACAATTGCTTTTTTCTTATGCAGTCTATGTAATTAAGTGTCAATTTTAGCTTTGTCATACATGACTTACCAGATGTTTGTCATGATTTAGACAACTGCATAGTATTCACCAACATTTATTACTCCACCTTTGAATGTTGTATATAGTTTATCACAGGTGTATATTATAGTTTATTGTCAGTATTTATACAGTTCTTTGGCAATACTGTATCTGAATATGGACAAATTTTTACAGAGTAAACCTCATGATCACATCTGTCTTCGCGAAACTGATCACAAAAAGCACATGATAAATATAACTGATATTTTTCCTTTTTCTTTTTTTTACTGATACAGATTACAATGTAATTGAGATTTTTTTATATTTATAACATGAATTTAAACTAATGAAACGGAAAGCTTTACTATTTACTGAATTTTATTGAGTGTGTCAATATAAATTACAGCTGTTACAAATGCTTTTCCAATTACTGTACAATCACCTGAACTATGGAAAAGATGTGACATAAAGAAAGATCCTCTTTTATTGTTGGGTCTATGTACTAATATTACTAATCCCTTAACAGTAGAAATTAATATGTATCCTGAATTTGATATGTAAGTGTGACTGTAAAAATCTTCAATCTATAAAGAAAGAGTTATGGTAACCATTTGAAAATTTGTGGTTGAGATTGTCATCCATCTGCAACATGACATTGCAAAATACAAAGAGAAACACAAAATTATGCTGAGAATTTGGATTCATCTCCTTATATAAAGACCTGTACCTCGCTGAGCACATGACCTGTAGATCTTCACACTGCTCAGTTTGAAAGTTTTCTTCTCCTCTGACAATCAATCTGTGGAAAGGTAAGAAGTAAAATGTTATCTTCATATTTATTCAAAAAAGTCTTTGGATTGTGTGATGAGTATTGGTACTGGATATATATCATGCTTTGTAGCCCTGTTATGTTGTTGGATGAATAAATGTAGTGAATGAAGAGAGTCTGGATGTGGCCACTGTTATTCTCTTTTTCAGGATGAAGTGTGTTATGATCTTTCTGGTGTTGACGTTTGTTGTCCTCATGGCTAAACCTGGGGAGGAGTTTGGAGTTGCACGGACAGGTGCAAAGACTGCATGGAGACGTAAATCACAACAGAACATACATTCAGTTTCAACTTAATGCAATCCTTGATGCAGAAAGGCTACTTCAGACAGTTGTAATAACCACTAGTATAAAACGTAAAAAAAACTGCACCAAAATACATATTTGTAAAATATGTCAATAATAATGTGCCTATGAGTTTGAAAAACTTGACTTTTCAAATAGATTACAAAGCTAGAGGAGTATATATTTTGTTTATTTGTTCTGTATTTTACTTAATTTAGTCCTGACAGCTCAGCTACACTCATTGGCCACTTCATACACCTGATTTTTTTCAAGCGCATACACAGAGCAGACAGCTAGCGGACTGAGGAGATACTCACTGAATTTGAGAAAAAGACTTGTATTGGGTTAGAATTGCTTGTTGCTTATAAACTGAAAGTAAAGCATTACCATTATCTTACAAACTACTGAATAATCTTTAGTACCATCATAATACTATCATATGGTTTGATGTTTTTTTTCATTCTCATCATCATTTAGCACACAGGTGCAATTGGTTTTGAAAAATTTGAAATGGCTTGCAATTGCGAACTGTGCTGATGAATAAAACTGCAATACAAAAAGTCAAACTCTGTTTAAAGCTATTACTTAAGTAAATATAAGGAATGCGCCAATGTGATATATCATATGTGTACATACAAAATTGGTATTCCTAGCGCAAATCTGTAATTAATCGGTAATCTTAATTCCTTGAACCAACTAGCTATTCATGAATAGATCCACATTACATACATTTCAGGAAATGCAATTGTACTGTAGTGATGTAAGGTTAGAGCCCTGTGGGTATTATTTGTGACATTACTATCGGTTTTTTTGTTTTTTAAACACAGCAATCAAGATGTTGACATCATGCACATTCAGTCAAATCATGTACATAGTTACTGAGCATAACTCCTATTAGTGATATTTTGTTTCCATGTACCCTAAGATTAGCCTAAATTTAGTCAATATTAGTTTATTTAGTTTAATATTACAAAAGATATTACTATACAGATGCATCAAATATACATTGTACTATTTAGTAAATTTCTATAAATATATTGAAACATAAGAACACTTTTCTGTCACTCTGGAAATCAGTCTTTGCAAGAGACTCTGCATGAGAGTGAATCATATGTTATTTAACATCATTTTCATATCAACGTTTCGTATGTAAATTTGAAAAAAGGAGTTCATGTTAAAGTGTTTTTAAAAAATGATCATCAACTTCGGGTAAAATAAACACGTAGATTTGATCATTTTCATCTAGACGACTCATCGGTTCTTTTTCGCATTATAGCATACAGTATAAGGAATATAATAATTGATTGCCAGCTGTTAAAGACTTACTCTGCAGGTGATCATGGCTCTGAACAAGAAAAGGAAAGGGATGGAGGAGGAGGGAGCAGGGACAAGCATAGATCTGATTATAGGTGCACTATTGAATGTTATTGTATGACTCTGAAGTAAATTAGAGTTCATGTGGTCATGTACTATTTGATTCAAATTATTTATTGAGGCTTTGCAAATATGTTGCATAATACACCATTTGCCATTGTCAAGGCTGGACTTTTGAATTGAATGAATACATAATAATAATAATAATAGTTGATGTCATCCAAATGATGACAGGCAGACAAGGAACATTTTGAAGAAGTCTTTGCAGAGATCCCTATAGAGACAAATACGTGTGACAACCAGCTTATTGATTATAACAAATTTGTGGTCATCTGGAAATTTCAGACAGAGTCAGACAACATTTTTGCTTTCTGTACAAACACACTCAGGGAGGAAAACCCAAATGATTTTCATTGTTTTACATATTAGCCAAATGACTTGCAAATATTTGTTGCCAGTCCACCCCTGGATGTAAATGCACTGTATATACTGCTTGAACAACATGGTGAGTTGATACTGAAAGTTTAGGAGCTGAGATAAAACACCTTGTCATCTACTGGCAGAACTAGACATTGCACCATACAATGACTAATACAGTTTTGCTAAATAGTTTTAGCATGAATTCCCCCCCCCCGCCCCCCCCCCTTTTCTATAAAAGACACAATTACTTCACAATTGACTCACATCAACTGCAGAACTCCCAGTGGCGCCCTTAACTGTCAGGATCTGACTATCAATCTGAGGACAGGTAAAGCAAATATTTTTTCATTTTACTATTATTAATAAACATTAGCACTGCAGATTCACTGTGACTTGTTGCCATGTTATCTTGTTGGATGAATGAAAGTGTCTGAATGTGTTGTTGACTCATGGGATGTGCCTGTGATGTGTTTTGTATGCAGGATGAAGTGTGTTATGATGTTTCTTGTGTTGACGCTGGTCGTCCTCATGGCTGAACCTGGGGAGTGTTTATTTGGACGTCTGAAAGCCATGTGGCGTGGTGCCAAACAGGCATGGAGAGGTAAATCACAAGGGAAGATAGTTAGTGTTGGAGTTTGGTGCTCTGCTCCACTAATGTTAGTCTGTGGGTGATGTTGGTATGAAGTTTTAACAACAGACTTTTGTTGTGTGTACATACTGTTCAGGGACTGCACTGTGCTCTTACAAAAATTAAATAAATGTTTGGATGATGTGATAAAACTTTTAATCTAATTTACAATGTTGTACTGAACCAGTCTGACCTGAAGTTACCAATCACTTTGGTGGGTTTGTTAAAAATTTGTTGATTGTTATTTGTTTTGCTGGCGTGTCAACCTCATTAGATATTAGGAAGTTTGTATTGTGTACACAGTATATTATATTATATAAATTTACAATTTGGTGAGTGGGTATTTTTCCATTATTGTACTGTTTATTACAAATATATCTTAGGTAGGCTAAATAGATCCAGTATTTGCCAGTAAGTATAATCAGTACAATAATGATACACAAATTATTTTAAACATTAAATAATGTTGTGATAAGTTCATAACATAATGTTTTCGGTGTGCTGTCATTTTCTTTTCTTTGTCTGTTTAGAACACAAATATAAAAGTCAAATGAAGAAGCTGAATGCAAGGTAAGGACTTCTGATAAATAATTGCAGTTTATATCTAACAAGACAGACTTTCAAGTCTGCACATAAGATCCTTAAACCAATAAAACATTGCAAAAAACCTAGGAAAAATATTTACACATTTACAGAACCTTTGTCAAACTTTAATCTGTAATTAATCTGTAATCTTGATTCCTTCCCCCAACAAGGCAACAAAGCAGATCTGACAACCCACAACCTGAAGATGAACCTTATAAGCGCTGAATTTGTGAGAGTGAATACAAAAACTCAGTTTTACGCTATATGGTTTAAGGGGAATTGTATTGCCCCTTCCTGTAGCTTTGTGCCTTGCATTACAGGAAACAAATGGATAAACAAACCAGTCATCTAAGATAATAAGAGATTGACCAGGCAAAGTTCTAATTGGTTTTGAAATATGAGAAACTTCTTGATGTTGCAAACTGTCCTGATGAATAAAACTGCAATACAAAAAGTCAAACTCAGCTGTGTCTTATTACTTGACGCAATATATTCCTGTGATTTTACATTAAAATTTCCAATCATGAAAAAAGCATGAAAGAGAGTGTCTCCGGGAGGGTCTTTATGAGGCTAACTGCAGACAGGAAGAAACTGTTCACGCAGTGACAAGTTTTGGTCCTCCCCCTGAGGGGAGTGTCTGAAACTGTGAGACATTTTAAGGGGAAGAGTGGAAGGAGAGACACGAGGCAAAGATACTGAGTGAGATAAAAGGAACATGTGCATGACAATGTTCTAAAAACCCTGGGAAGTTAGTTATTGTAGAATTTGCCTCTTCATATTTAATATTTTTCTTCAGTATCACAGTAATTTAGTGATGGTTGTCTGTACATCTATGAGTACATCACAACAAGGAACTGCAAATAGCTAATTTAGCATACTTTACAATTTGGCATAATGTAAAGAAATAGTAGTTTATGGTAACAGTAAGGAAACAGTAAGGTTGCAAGCCATATGGCCAAAACAATGCGCAAAAAGATACTACAATGCTCTGTAGAGTAAACTCATACACTATAGGTTCTTTTTTGGCACACTGCCAGAAGATCCTTTTTTGTTTAATTTGGGTATGAGGATTTATTTGATCCAATAGGTACAGATAAAATGATTTCCCCATATGATGTTAATGACAGGCTTTTGCATGTGTGTAAACTAACCCCTCCTCCTTCTTACACTAGAAACGATTTGGCTACAGAGAGAGCAGACCAGGCAGGCTGAGGTGTCAGAGATAGGGATGATGGATCTCGCTCACTGTTGCCTGAAAACAACCTAAAGGGCATCATGAACCAACCCTGAAAATGACACCTGAATTTCCCCAATAAGATTAAACAAACATAAACCAAATAGACAGGCAGAGTTTGTTTTGGGCAGTTGGGGCTTCACTTAAAACATATTGATCGGAAATGAGAAGTGGTCACAGGAGGGATGAGATTAGAAAGGTATGTGTATTTGTGTGTGTGTGTGTGTTTGTCTGAGGGTCACCTGTGTCATTGGCCGTGGTTGTTTACCCAGAGGCGATTGCTGGCCTCACACACAAGCCCTACCCAGACAGAGATGCGTGGTAAATAATAGAAGAGCCACGACAGAGGGCAGACACACACAAACACAGATCAGCATCAAGGTTAAAGATGGGTGTGGGGGTAATGGGAGAGCTCTTTATCGACACGTCATTAATATATGAGGGTTC